GCATTGGCTCATCCTTAGCATTGGCTCATCCTTAGCATTGGCTCATCCTTAGCATTGGCTCATTCCTTAGCATTGGCTCATCCTTAGCATTGGCTCATTCTTAGCATTGGCTCATCCTTAGCATTGGCTCATTCTTAGCATTGGCTCATCCTTAGCATTGGCTCATCTTAGCATTGGCTCATCCTTAGCATTGGCTCATCCTTAGCATTGGCTCATTCTTAGCATTGGCTCATCCTTAGCATTGGCTCATCCTTAGCATTGGCTCCTTATTCCATTAGCATTGGCTCATCCTTAGCATTGGCTCATCCTTAGCATTGGCTCATCCTTAGCATTGGCTCATCCTTAGCATTGGCTCATCCTTAGCATTGGCTCATCCTTAGCATTGGCTCATCCTTAGCATTGGCTCATCCTTAGCATTGGCTCATCCTTAGCATTGGCTCATCCTTAGCATTGGCTCATCCTTAGCATTGGCTCATCCTTAGCATTGGCTCATCCTTAGCATTGGCTCATCCTTAGCATTGGCTCATTCCTTAGCATTGGCTCATCCTTAGCATTGGCTCATTCTTAGCATTGGCTCATCCTTAGCATTGGCTCATCCTTAGCATTGGCTCATCCTTAGCATTGGCTCATCCTTAGCATTGGCTCATCCTTAGCATTGGCTCATCCTTAGCATTGGCTCATCCTTAGCATTGGCTCATCCTTAGCATTGGCTCATCCTTAGCATTGGCTCATCCTTAGCATTGGCTCATCCTTAGCATTGGCTCATCCTTAGCATTGGCTCATCCTTAGCATTGGCTCATCCTTAGCATTGGCTCATCCTTAGCATTGGCTCATCCTTAGCATTGGCTCATCCTTAGCATTGGCTCATCCTTAGCATTGGCTCATCCTTAGCATTGGCTCATCCTTAGCATTGGCTCATCCTTAGCATTGGCTCATCTTAGCATTGGCTCATCCTTAGCATTGGCTCATCCTTAGCATTGGCTCATTCCTTAGCATTGGCTCATCCTTAGCATTGGCTCATTCTTAGCATTGGCTCATCCTTAGCATTGGCTCATTCTTAGCATTGGCTCATCCTTAGCATTGGCTCATCCTTAGCATTGGCTCATCCTTAGCATTGGCTCATCCTTAGCATTGGCTCATCCTTAGCATTGGCTCATCCTTAGCATTGGCTCATCCTTAGCATTGGCTCATCCTTAGCATTGGCTCATCCTTAGCATTGGCTCATCCTTAGCATTGGCTCATCCTTAGCATTGGCTCATCCTTAGCATTGGCTCATCCTTAGCATTGGCTCATCCTTAGCATTGGCTCATCCTTAGCATTGGCTCATCCTTAGCAATTGGCTCATCCTTAGCATTGGCTCATCTAGCATTGGCTCATCCTTAGCATTGGCTCATCCTTAGCATTGGCTCATCATTAGCATTGGCTCATCCTTAGCATTGGCTCATTCCTTAGCATTGGCTCCATCCCTTAGCATTGGCTCATCCTTAGCATTGGCTCATCCTTAGCATTGGCTCATCCTTAGCATTGGCTCATCCTTAGCATTGGCTCATCCTTAGCATTGGCTCATCCTTAGCATTGGCTCATCCTTTAGCATTGGCTCATCCTTAGCATTGGCTCATCCTTAGCATTGGCTCATCCTTAGCATTGGCTCATCCTTAGCATTGGCTCATCCTTAGCATTGGCTCATCCTTAGCATTGGCTCATTCTTAGCATTGGCTCATCCTTAGCATTGGCTCATCCTTAGCATTGGCTCATCCTTAGCATTGGCTCATCCTTAGCATTGGCTCATCCTTAGCATTGGCTCATCCTTAGCATTGGCTCATCCTTAGCATTGGCTCATCCTTAGCATTGGCTCATTCTTAGCATTGGCTCATCCTTAGCATTGGCTCATTCTTAGCATTGGCTCATCCTTAGCATTGGCTCATCCTTAGCATTGGCTCATCCTTAGCATTGGCTCATCCTTAGCATTGGCTCATCCTTAGCATTGGCTCATCCTTAGCATTGGCTCATCCTTAGCATTGGCTCATCCTTAGCATTGGCTCATCCTTAGCATTGGCTCATCCTTAGCATTGGCTCATCCTTAGCATTGGCTCATCCTTAGCATTGGCTCATTCTTAGCATTGGCTCATCCTTAGCATTGGCTCATCCTTAGCATTGGCTCATCCTTAGCATTGGCTCATCCTTAGCATTGGCTCATCCTTAGCATTGGCTCATCCTTAGCATTGGCTCATCCTTAGCATTGGCTCATCCTTAGCATTGCTCATCTTAGCATTGGCTCATCCTTAGCATTGGCTCATCCTTAGCATTGGCTCATCCTTAGCATTGGCTCATCCTTAGCATTGGCTCATCCTTAGCATTGGCTCATCCTTAGCATTGGCTCATCCTTAGCATTGGCTCATCCTTAGCATTGGCTCATCCTTAGCATTGGCTCATCTTAGCATTGGCTCATTCTTAGCATTGGCTCATCCTTAGCATTGGCTCATCCTTAGCATTGGCTCATCCTTAGCATTGGCTCATCCTTAGCATTGGCTCATCCTTAGCATTGGCTCATCCTTAGCATTGGCTCATCCTTAGCATTGGCTCATCCTTAGCATTGGCTCATCCTTAGCATTGGCTCATCCTTAGCATTGGCTCATCCTTAGCATTGGCTCATCCTTAGCATTGGCTCATCCTTAGCATTGGCTCATCCTTAGCATTGGCTCATCCTTAGCATTGGCTCATCCTTAGCATTGGCTCATCCTTAGCATTGGCTCATCCTTAGCATTGGCTCATCCTTAGCATTGGCTCATCCTTAGCATTGGCTCATCCTTAGCATTGGCTCATCCTTAGCATTGGCTCATCCTTAGCATTGGCTCATCCTTAGCATTGGCTCATCCTTAGCATTGGCTCATCCTTAGCATTGCTCATCCTTAGCATTGGCTCATCCTTAGCATTGGCTCATCCTTAGCATTGGCTCATCCTTAGCATTGGCTCATCCTTAGCTTGGCTAATTCTTAGCATTGGCTCATCCTTAGCATTGGCTCATCCTTAGCATTGGCTCATCCTTAGCATTGGCTCATTCCTTAGCATTGGCTCATCCTTAGCATTGGCTCATCCTTAGCATTGGCTCATCCTTAGCATTGGCTCATCCTTAGCATTGGCTCATCCTTAGCATTGGCTCATCCTTAGCATTGGCTCATCCTTAGCATTGGCTCATCTTAGCATTGGCTCATCCTTAGCATTGGCTCATCCTTAGCATTGGCTCATCCTTAGCATTGGCTCATCCTTAGCATTGGCTCATCCTTAGCATTGGCTCATCCTTAGCATTGGCTCATCCTTAGCATTGGCTCATCCTTAGCATTGGCTCATCCTTAGCATTGGCTCATCCTTAGCATTGGCTCATCCTTAGCATTGGCTCATCCTTAGCATTGGCTCATCCTTAGCATTGGTCTCTCCTTAGCATTGGCTCATCTTAGCATTGGCTCATCCTTAGCATTGGCTCATCCTTAGCATTGGCTCATCCTTAGCATTGGCTCATCCTTAGCATTGGCTCATCCTTAGCATTGGCTCATCCTTAGCATTGGCTCATCCTTAGCATTGGCTCATCCTTAGCATTGGCTCATCCTTAGCATTGGCTCATCCTTAGCATTGGCTCATCCTTAGCATTGGCTCATCCTTAGCATTGGCTCATCCTTAGCATTGGCTCATCCTTAGCATTGGCTCATCCTTAGCATTGGCTCATCCTTAGCATTGGCTCATCCTTAGCATTGGCTCATCCTTAGCATTGGCTCATCCTTAGCATTGGCTCATCCTTAGCATTGGCTCATCCTTAGCATTGGCTCATCCTTAGCATTGGCTCATCCTTAGCATTGGCTCATCCTTAGCATTGGCTCATCCTTAGCATTGGCTCATCCTTAGCATTGGCTCATCCTTAGCATTGGCTCATCCTTAGCATTGGCTCATCCTTAGCATTGGCTCATCCTTAGCATTGGCTCATCCTTAGCATTGGCTCATTCCTTAGCATTGGCTCATCCTTAGCATTGGCTCATCCTTAGCATTGGCTCATCCTTAGCATTGGCTCATCCTTAGCATTGGCTCATCCTTAGCATTGGCTCATCCTTAGCATTGGCTCATCCTTAGCATTGGCTCATCCTTAGCATTGGCTCATTCTTAGCATTGGCTCATCCTTAGCATTGGCTCATTCTTAGCATTGGCTCATCCTTAGCATTGGCTCATTCTTAGCATTGGCTCATCCTTAGCATTGGCTCATCCTTAGCATTGGCTCATCCTTAGCATTGGCTCATCCTTAGCATTGGCTCATCCTTAGCATTGGCTCATCCTTAGCATTGGCTCATCCTTAGCATTGGCTCATCCTTAGCATTGGCTCATCCTTAGCATTGGCTCATTCTTAGCATTGGCTCATCCTTAGCATTGGCTCATTCTTAGCATTGGCTCATCCTTAGCATTGGCTCATTCTTAGCATTGGCTCATCCTTAGCATTGGCTCATCCTTAGCATTGGCTCATCCTTAGCATTGGCTCATCCTTAGCATTGGCTCATCCTTAGCATTGGCTCATCCTTAGCATTGGCTCATTCTTAGCATTGGCTCATCCTTAGCATTGGCTCATTCTTAGCATTGGCTCATCCTTAGCATTGGCTCATCCTTAGCATTGGCTCATCCTTAGCATTGGCTCATCCTTAGCATTGGCTCATCCTTAGCATTGGCTCATCCTTAGCATTGGCTCATCCTTAGCATTGGCTCATCCTTCATCCTTAGCATTGGCTCATCCTTAGCATTGGCTCATCCTTAGCATTGGCTCATTCTTAGCATTGGCTCATCCTTAGCATTGGCTCATTCTTAGCATTGGCTCATCCTTAGCATTGGCTCATCCTTAGCATTGGCTCATCCTTAGCATTGGCTCATCCTTAGCATTGGCTCATCCTTAGCATTGGCTCATCCTTAGCATTGGCTCATCCTTAGCATTGGCTCATCCTTAGCATTGGCTCATTCTTAGCATTGGCTCATCCGTCCACCCACCTTGGTACATCGGCCAGTGCTATGCAACTGATGGCATAGCGTCCATCCCCCAACCTTAGTCTATAGCCCCTGGCAAACCCCCTCACCTTAGCGAAGAGCAGCTTGGTGGCTATGAACTGCAAGAGCGCCACTGACGCCACCAGAGTGAGTAGAGCCTCGGCCTGAAGGGGTGAGGGGTTGAGAGGGTAACGGGGTGACGGGGCCAGGGAACAGGGGGGAATGGAGGCAAAAGAGATTCCGGTCTGGATTTGCGCACTGCGCTGTTGGTCTTGTTGCTAAAGCCTCCCCTTCACGTGTGCAAACCCAGAGCGCAGTGCTGCCCGTCGATTATGAGTCAAGAAGACCCTCTGGATTAGCGCGTGCACTGCAACAAAACATTGCCTGCAGTGAAACAATGCTATGACAGCACAACCATGAAACAACATTGTTGTCGTGGTGTGGTGCTGAGCCGACAATGCGGTGAGTTGACTTTTGAGTCGACTCAAAAGTCAACATTGTTGTCATGTTGCCGAGCCGACAATGCGATGAATGCAAACTCTGCCAGCACTGCCACGGATAGCCCAGCAGCAAACATGGCCATACCACTCTGCCATCTCCTCTCCCCACTTCCCCTCCTCCCCACCCTCTTGACCCTCCCCTCTTACGAAACTAGGCCATGACATGACAAGTACGAGTGAACGCGCACCTCTGCCAGCACTGCCACAGAGAGACCTGCAGCAGCAAGGATGCCCAGTGCTGCACTGCGCGGCACTACCTTCCCCCCCGGACCCCACCACCCGCATCCCAATAGACCAAACCAAACCATGCCCACCACGAATGCGCACCTCTGCCAGCACGGCCACAGAGAGACCCGCAGCAGCAAGGATGCCCAGTGCTGCAGGAGCTGCTGATGCCGCTGCTGATGCTGCTGTTGATGCACCGCTCTGGATAAAGGTAAAGGAAGATACATGGGGAAAGTGGAAAAAGGAGCTGTGAAGAGGTGTAGTTAAAAGACGTAAACGAGGTGGTTGAATAAGTTGTTGTGAAAAGGAGCCTATGTTTCATGCTTTAGTTTGTTCATTTTTCAATCAAGCCAGAGGAAACTCTGACGTGCTGCTAACCGCTTGCGCTGTAGAGTCCGACTCTTCAAGGTTCAAGGAGGAACGTTCTTTGTTTGAGTATACTTAAACGGGGAGGCTTGATGGAAAAAACTTGTCATAAACTCACCCCTACGGTGAAGAATATTCTGTTTTCCAGCTGTAGAAACAGGTTGATTCCTTGTTTGAACAGGTGGAAATCATTTTCTGTCAACTAGCTCACCTCTACAGTGGTGAAAACCTCTTTCACTGTAGAAACGGACTCCTCGAGGTTAATTCCGAGGTTGAACGAGGGGAGCGAGGGGAGTGAGGGTAGCGCGGGCGAGGGCAGACGGAGGAACGGTTTCTTCCACGGCAGCCCCCCTTCCTGCACGAGCGTCGGGAAAGGGGGAAGAAGGGTGAAAAGGGGGGAGAGACAACGGGGAGATAGGGGAAAGTTGGAAAGGGGGGAAGAGGGGAAAGGAGGGAGGGTAGAAGGGGAAACTAGTTGAGCGGATGAGGCGCAGGGCGCTTTTGTTCTCGGCACTGCTATGCTAAATATGGACCGAGGCACTGGGGCTGGTTCGGGGAGAGGGGAAAGAGGAAAAGATTTGTAAGGAGAAACTAGCTGGGGGGGTGAGGTGGATGGCGATTTTGTTAAAGGCAAACTGATGCATGGAGCCACTAAAACTTCCCGAGCTGATAATTTAACTACGGCAGGGACACTTCAGCCAGTACTTGCCTGCCACGCGTCAGCTCCTCCAGCCACGACGAAGACATTCTTGAAGCCCGCTGACGTCAGCTGCTTGGCGACATCCACGGCGTCCTCCCCGGCCCTGGTTGGGAAGAACAAAGGGAAGCGCGAGAGTTCAGCAAGCGGAAGACTAATTTAGGCTGGAGATTGAATTTTAATATAGTTTGGAGTGAAGCGACGTTCTCAATTCAATTCTGGTAAGAATAACGCGAACGTGACATCACATACTTATCGATAACGATGATAGTAGATCCTTCCGACACGGCTTTAGCCTCCTTAACTGCGTCGAGGAACCCCTCTTTACGATCACCCAATTCAATCACCACGTCGTCCTCCCCGTCCCCCTCGCCCTCCTCCGCTTTCCGCTTCACCGAGTCTTCGCGATACGCCACGGCCACCAGTCGTTTCGGCGAGCTTTTTAGCGTCGGGTTACCCGATCGGCTTTTCTCCTTGCCGTCACGAATGTCGAGAAGAACGACTGCTTCGCCCTCTTCCTCCCACTCCTCCCCAGGCTCTTCGAGTGCCTTTTCCAGAGCCGCTTCTGGGGTCAAATCGCCCGCGTACTGCTTCCGCGTGAGGAACGAGAACGCCCCCGCGAGCAGCGCCGTCGCTCCCGCTGCAGCCGCGAAAGTGAGGGCCACTTCGGCGTCAAACGCGGCGGCAGATGCGGCCGCGGGGACTGCGCTGGTGAACAGGTCGGCGACTCCAGCCACTGCAGAAGTGGCGGCGGAAGTGGCGGTAGAGGCGGCGGCAGAAGCGGCTTCAGTCACGGCGGCAGGTGCGGCAGCAGATGCGGCGGCGGCGACGGCGTCGGACACAGCGGCAGTAACGGCGCTCACGGCCTCCGGAGCGGAAGACGCGGCGGCGGAGGCGGCGTCAGTCACGGCGCCTGCAGCGGAACTAGCGGCCTCCCCGGCAGCGGCAGCTCCGGCGGCTTCCCCAGCCGATGTGATATTAACGGGCCCAGTCGCGGCAGCTGAAGTGATTGTAACGACGGAGCGCTGCACGGCCTTGCCGGCGATTTGCTCGTAGCGAGAGAGCGCGTCGGAATCGACGGCGAGCGCCGCAGGAGCAGTGAATGCGGAAATCGCGGATGTAGCGGCGGCTACAGCTGCAGCTACAGCCGCCGAAGCCGCCTTAATAGTGAAGGAGGCTGGCCTGTTTTGCGACGCATTCGCCTGCGACGATGACGGGACATCCTCCGACGGTTCTGATTGGCAAGCGACGGCACACGACGTGAGCGCGGCATTTCGCTGAAGCTTCGCTGACGCGGCTGCCGCGTGGGCTATTAGTGGCAGCGGGACAAGCGACGCGAGCTGATAAGGGCTCAGGTTCCTCCCATGGGAAAGAACGCGCCCGGCAGAGGATACATTGAAATGGGGGGGTGAAGCGCGGTGAGACGAGGTGCGCGTCGGTCTGTAGAGAGGAGGAAGGCCTGCGACGATGTGGGCACCGCACGTCGCGGGAAGGAGGAGCGCCATTCAAGCTGGCTATGCGACCTGGCGAAGCGTTGGCGAGCTACGCAAGGGGAGCAAAACTATATTATAACAGTAGGTGCGTCGAGAGGAGTAGCCCACCGCTAGACGACAAACACGACGGGGCAGTATCAATGTCAGAGGAGTAGCTAGAGCGTAGTGAATAGGCGCCTATTGATCTTCATTGCGATGAAACTTTGGATTCACCGAAATGTAACGTAATCAGCCGCGTCGAACCTTTGAAAGACAAGGAAAGCAAGCGATAGTGAGAGAGAAGCAGGGAGGCCGAATTTCCAAGGATGGTGAATCATCGTTGCGCCTCGCCTTGCTGGCGGTTCTCGAGAAGCCTTCACCACGCAGAATGGTACCTCGATGACGTGGAAAGCCGACATGGCAAGCTGTGGCTCTGAATGGGAACCAGGTTGTGGCGGAGATTTCACGAAGTTGGCCAATAATACGTTTTCCCCATTTCAAGCTGTCGAATGGAAATCGTAATGTAACAAATGCCACGTGCGAGTCCAATCAAGATGAGGTTCCGAGAACAGCGCGAAGCGCACAAAGCAGCACAGCAAATCGCTCAAACCTCCACCAAGGAGCACCACAAGCTGCAATCAAATGTGAGATGAGGCTAAAGCCACCCAAAAGAATGTACAAATGTATCAATTAGATACAAGCTATTCACGGTGACAAATCCATCCACAAAGCTCCTTGCACATGCCCCTCGTCATCCACAGGATCAGAATTCAGATCTATGTCACACACTCGTGAGCGACTCAAAGTGGTAGTCCCATGACCGCCGCACTCGTTCTGATGCTGCATGGCCGATGTCGAAACCCCCTTGGGAACACCATGGGGCGATCCTGGAGGCGCCAACGCCAAGGTCTGTCCAGAACAAATCATGTTCCCATGCCACTGGTGCAGGACCACGTTCTCATGCTGCTGCGGAAGAGGGTCCACCAGGGGTGACGCAGGAGGCACCAGGACACTATCTGGCAATATGGTGAGCCGATGGTGGAGTAACTGCTGGTCCAACAACAGCTGCTGTTGTTGGAACTTACTTTCCTTCACTGGAATTTTAGCTGGTATTGCTGCTGGGATGGCACCTTCTGACTCTTTCAGGGTGAGCATCTCCGCGGCACTTTCCGGAATGCCAGAACTTTCTGACAGCAAGGATGCTTTTTGCAGCTCACATAAGCTTTCTGCCGCCTCTCGAGCAACCGCTTCCGCCTTCCTCTTTTGCGTTACCTTCAGCCTCTCCTCTGCAGTAAGCACAAAAATGGTAGATTATATAAGTACACAACAAAATGCAGAGGCTTACAAATTCATGCACACCTCTTAAACAAGTTTGACCTGAAGCAGTGGCCAGCATACCTCTCTTGCGGCTGGACATGTGTTCACCCAAACACTGAGGCAGGGTGAACGTCCTCCTGCACTCCTTGCCCTCATGCGTGGACGAAAATCTGGGTCCTGCCAGTAACTTTCGGAGTTCATCCTCCGGAGAAAAACAGGTGCGAGCTGGATCCACATAATTGGATGGCATCACGTGGATGGATGGGATGGAGCCAGAGATGCCTGATGACGCCAGATGACCGGACGGCTGCACGGGAAGACTCCCAGTATTCAAAGATTGTACTTTTCCCCGAAACAGGTCCCTGTGGCCGGATTGAGCAGGAGCATTCCCGATAAACTCATAGGCTTCACTGGTTGATTGCGGTATGTGATTCCTGGTATGAAGGCCCGTATGGCTGGATCGAGGAGGATTCCTGGTAAAGGAATCCATGTGACTGGAAACTTGTCGAGGAAGGTTCCTGGTAGAAAGGACCTCATAACCGGAGGACTGCACTGAGAAATTCTTGGTTAGAAAGTCCGTGTCGCTGGAAGATTGCACTGGAAGGCTTCCAGGTAGACGATTCAGATAGCTGGATGACCGAACAGGGAGACACTGGGTAGAATGGTCCACATGGCCGGTGCTTGGCGCCGGAAGGGTTAGGGAATTAAAAGAAGCCGTGTCAGGCACAGGCAGCTGGGATGAAGAGGAGAGAGCATGAGCTGCCGTGAAATTTGAAGAGAAGGGGAGAGCAGAGGTCGAAACTGGAGAGGGCCCGAGGGAGTCTAAGGGAGGTCCTGAGGTTGCAAGAAGGCGCGCTCGATGGATGATGGCTTGTAGCGCTCCTGCAGGGGTGAATATTTGAGATAGCATGAAGAGACCGACACACAGAGATGCGTCAGAGATGGGAAGGCACAGGCAACAGGCAGATCCTTTCGAGGGGATCCGCAGAGCAACTATAACTACACGTTTACCATATTTGCCGCATTATAGCCCCATGAGAACCAGAGACAGCAAGCATGGCTCTCAAGAGTCAAGACGAGTAAAACAAGACGTGCAGGAGTAGTCACCTGTGAAAGCGGCAGACGGGGAAGGAAGAAGCCTCTTGGCGATCAGGCGAGCAGCAAGAGCCTCGTCTTCATCGCTAGCAGCAGCCGCCTTGATCTCCCCCTCGCTCGGCAGCGAATCTCCGCGCGACCTCTTCCGCTTACGATTCCCGCTGGACGGCTTCCGCGGGCCTTCGGAAGGCTTCCGCCTCAACGCTCCGAGCTCAGGGACGGGAGGGACAGCACCGCTATGTCCCGCCGCAATCGCCGGTGAATCTTGATGCGGAATCCGCCATGAAGAATCGTGATGAATCGAGGCGTTGCTTGTTGTGGTAGTAGCTCGCGCCGATAGGATTGGCGCGTTCCAGCGGAGCTCATCTTGTCGGCCATACCTCTCGAGGGCACGATACCGCCTTTCAGAAATTCGGGATCTCCGTCATTCCTCTCCAGCGTTTCACGAGCAGTGTTCCTCGCCCGTAGAAACGCTGCTCATGTGCGTGAAACGCTGGAGAGGAATGGTATATATGATGCGTGCTTGACGCACTGCTCATGTGCTTGTCAGAAATTCGGGATCTCCGTCAAAACGGAAGGATTATGCGTGACACGTGCATATCGGAATGAGTGATGGAGGTGATCGTGCAGCTGGGAGCTTCTAGAGACCGTCCCATAAGTTTGCTGTAGCCAGGTGCGCCTACGGGGAGTTCGGCTTTAGGAGATTTAGGGCGGCCATCTGTTCGAGCTGGTGTGAGAGGCATCATTCCCGGCATCCCTTCGTGGTTGCTGTCCACTCCGACCCATGGAAGTCCAAACAAGACGATGTATGCGGTTGTCGCATTCGCGGAGCTGCCTGCGTTTAGAGCATTCCCGGAGCTGCATGCGATGCGGGCAATCGCGCAAAGCAGAGACGGCTTAGCGTTCATGGCGGCGAGGGGAAAAGCCGCAAAGATCGCGAAGGAAGCACGCGTACGGCATAAGTAAAGCTCCCTCCTATGGGTGGGACTATACTGTCATAGTCGTGTGGTCCAAGCTTTTGCCATGTGGACTGCTAGAAGCGGCAGGGAGTGCTCGAAGATGCCGACTGCAGCAAAAATCCGTCAACCGCGGGGATGCTTCTGAACCCCTATAAGTAGCCCTCGCTAAGTAGGAGGAATTATACGGTACAAGGCCTCGCTTGGAATTGCTTCGCTCTTGAACGAACACAATCAGACTCTAGCGCCTAGGTTAAACATTAAAAGTTGGGAGTTTGCACCTCATGATTATGTAGATTGCAGGCAGGTACAGAACTTTCCACGAAGGATTTCCTTCACAAATTACAATGCACAACCCCATACTCTCAAAGTTAGCGAACAACGGAATGTGTGAACTAGGGAAGCAAGGGATACAAATAGCAACCCTAAAAGTGTTGTACTCCCTAGAGTGCTACTCACTGTAGCCTAAGAACCTATAATAACATTTGACACACCCCCATAGGCTAAGTGAGGGGCATCAAAGCAAGCAGGGTGAACAAACGGTCACAAGACCAGTCAATGCAAGAAGCAAAGCAAGCTCAGGGTGGATCTCAAGGACACCACACAAATTCCGAGCACAAGCAAGCGGCCACAAGGCCAGTTCAAGAGTTCACTAGGATATATATAGCAAAGCACAACAAGCAGAGCAAACAGCAAGTCTACAGCAACCGAGGGCCTACCTCAACAAGCCCCAACTGCACACAGAACCTGTGGTGGTCACCAAGTGCCAGGGCCTTGGTGAAGACGTCTGCAGTGTTGGCCTCTGAGGCCACAAAGTCCAGGCGTGCCTGGCCGCGTCGCTGTAGCTCTCGCAGAAGGAAGTACCTCACGTCAATATGCTTCACTCTGCTCTCCAGTCGAGGCTCTCGACACAGGAGGATCATGGCCTTGTTGTCAGCGTACAAGGTCGGTGCAGAGCGAGGCCGCTCACCAAGGTCGGCGAGCAAGAAGGTCAACCAGCGAAGCTCCTGTGCCGCCATGGCACCAGCGTATATCTCTGCCTCTGCACTGGAAGTAGCCACAGACGACGACCGTGTAGACCTCCACGACATAGCACCAGCACCCAAACTGAAGCAGTAACCCTGAGTCGAGCGCTGAGTCTCCACGTCGTCAGCGTAGGAAGAGTCGCAGTGACCAGTCAACGCCACTGGCTGAGTCCCTCCAAGCACAAGCCCCATGCCTGATGTAGTCGCCAGGTACTTCGCCACCCTCACAGCAGCTGTCCAGTGGACAGGACGGTGTCTCCCAGTCGCAACAAAGCGAGAGAGGACGCTGAGGGGAAAGGCGAGGTCCGGCCGAGTACAAGTCATCAGGTACATGAGGCAGCCCACCAGCTCTGCGTAGGGACCACTGGACTCAAAAGGCTCGTCGGGAAAGGGGCCAGTGAGTCTGTGGTCAACAGCAAGAGGTGTGGGCTGTGTGGTGGAGAACTGGAAGTCGAACCGCCGAAGGACCTGCTGCACCATGTGTGACTGAGTCAGTGTGATGGTGCGAGCGGCTCTGTCCCTGGAGATCTGCAGGCCAAGGTAGCGCTGCAGTTCACCTAGGTCAGTGCACGTGTGTCTCTTCTGCAGTTCGGACTTCACCTGAGCTAGAGCTGCCCTGTCTGCTGTGGCAAAGACCAAG